ACACACTGTGCCACCAGGGAGGGCCCCATTTTTACCTTTCCTAACTAAAAGATAGTCAGTCTCTAGAGCAGGGCAATGTGAAGTTCAGCAATTCCCCTTTGGTGCTACTATGAGCTCATGACAGAAAGAGAAATGTGTAAAAGCTACTTGCGTTAGGATGCAGACACAACAGGTTGTGCACCTTTTCTGCTCAAAGCACTAGGTCCTCAAAGCCACACTTGTTAATCCCCTCCCAACCTTCTGTCCATTTCCACCCACCTACTGCCACCCCTGCACATTTAACAATGCTTCCACCAAGCGGGCTTCCATTAACATGTGCTCTGCTTCAATAAACATATGTTGAACTCTCCAGGTTTATATACATTTAATTCCTTTCTCCTAGTGTTGCTCTGTTCCGAGAAAGAAAAACAACAACAGAAAGCATTAAGGAGAAGTTAAATAGGGGAAACAACACACAATAGCACTTCAGGAGATTCTCCCTAGAGGCCCCAAATATTGCTCATTTATGCTACTGAGCATGTAAAGTGTGTTTCCCTAACATTTTTGTGCAAGCTCAACTTCACTTCTTCAAGTGGTGGGAGTGGTAGGAGGATGAGAGAAGTTCTAAGGGAGGACATAAAGGGGGTGATGCCATTTGACTCCCATTATTTTTTATACCATGTCTAAGTTTTATTTCCTTTTATTGAAGTAACATTGACTTATAACATTAAATAAGTTTCGGACACACAGCATTATACTTTGACATCTGTATGTACTGATGATCCCTCCCAAAGGTCTAGTTACCATCCACACCAGTCCTTTTGCTCACACCCAGTCCCTTTTCTTTCAGAGAATCATTCTGTTCTCAAAATACCATTTTTTTTCACTTGCTTTGTTTTTCTTCCACATAGAAGTGAAATCCTATGGTATTTGCCTTTCTCCATTTGACTTATTTCACTTAGCATAAGGCCCTCTAAGTCCATCCATGCTGTTGCAAGTGACAAGATTTCATCCTTATATTTATAGCTGAATGTATTCTATCAATTAATCAGGCTGAACGACATTTCCCAGTATACTCTGCTCTTCATTGTTCCATTTAGAGTTGGCCACAAGAGAAATCTGTCTGAGTTTTGGAAGGCAAACTAAAACCAAACCAAGCCTGATGGATGTGTTGGGTGCCAGATACTGCCATAGCATGTACGCCACATCACCCAACAGTGAGATCCTCATGTTGACACAGGACGGTGCCCAGGTTGATGCTTTTCTGGATCCTGCTATAGCTTCTTCGTTTTCTCCTATTCTTGGGCCAAGTTGCATGAGTGCTCAGGGATGAAGAGCTACCTCCTGTCAGTCACCCATGTCCACGATGTTGAGGCAGTGAGAGGCAGGTGGGTTCCAGTTTGTCCTGTCCTCCCCATTTCACATCCAGCTTGCCCTATCAAACACAGGACTTCAGACTACACAGAAACCAGGGACAGCCTGCCCTGAACTCCTCCAGCAGCTCACACACTGCCTGTGCCCAAAAACCGTGTAGCAAGTATCTCATTCTGCATCTCTCATGAGTTCTGCATCCCTAGTTGAAACTTGAAGCCTGAGAGATCAATTACCTATGTTGTAGAAGCAAAGGGACTTTGAGGACAATATAGAATATCTGTATTTCAATAAAGAAGTGATTTTCAATATCTATTCATATAAGTAGTGCCAGTGCTTGTCAATGTAAGCAATAAATGTGCCAGCTCTCATTCTGAAGCCACCTCTCCCCTTCGGCAAGTTCCAGACTACCAGTTCTTTCTCCCTTGAGCCTACTTCTCATCCTTAGATATTATTTTGGGATAGTACAAAGTAATGACAATAAGATCAATTTCAAAAGAAGGAGCAAACATGGATTTAGGACTTCCACAGCACAGCGATGTGATTGAAGTTAAGATGCCCAGTCAGTTCTAACAATGATTATCAGAGACTCCAATTTTCTGAGAAACTTTTCAACTTCTGACTTACTATTATGACAACATCTTCTCATATATAACCCTGATTTTTACAACAGAAGATTATTTGCCTTTTAATTCCATCCCAACAAATTCACCTGTAAGGGAACTTTTTTTTTTCCAGCAAACCTGTAGAGGAAGCTGATTTAAAGAAACAAGAAATGACTTCTAACATATAAAGACTGAGCCATCACCGGATTGACTGAATTCAAACACACTAAAGATATGTTAAAAGTGAGCTGATAGGGCCCTCCTTGGTGGCACAGCAGGTTAAAACACAGCACAAAGAAGCTTAAGCCACTTCCGCATGAATTTGATCCCGGCCTGCCCAGGAGGAGATCCACTTGGCAGGCAGACCTCACCTGACCCGCCCGCTGCTCCCCTCATCAATATACTTCGTAGATCTGCCTGTCCTGCTCCCCACTCTGTCCCTAGTGAATCCTCTCACCCTCCGCATCTCTGGCCTATACCCCAGTTCTGTATGTATGAATGAATAAATTTTTAAAAAATTAATTAAAAAAAAAGTGGGCTGATAGTTGCTGGAAAGTAGATGTTTTGGTAACTGAAGCCTTTGCAGTTTGTTGACTGTTAGATGAAGATACAGTGTTTGTTGGAAAAGGCCTGAAATCATATGGTTTTATGTCTGACCCATTACACTAAATACTTCCTAAGGGCAGGAGACCTGTAGCTCCACCAGTAAGCCTGGTCTGGCATTAAAAGGTGTACAACAAATGTTTTCTTGAACTAAAAACATCTGATCTTTGTTAAAAGATAGAAAATTCATTGTTCTTCAAAAGATACTTTTTAAATCCAGTCATCTATTTTTGGGCATTTGGGTTGATTCCACATCTTCCCTATTATAAATAGAGGAGCTATAAACATGGGAGTGAGGTGTCCTTTTGAATCAGTGTTTTTGTGTCTTTTGGGTAGATACCTAGGAGTGGGATTGCTGGGTCATATGGAAGCCCATTTTTAGCAGTTTGTGAAACCTCCAAACAGCTTTCTATAGTGGTTGTACTAGTTTGCATTCCCACCAACAGTATAGGAGAGTTCCTTTTTCTCCACATCCTCGCCAAAACAGATAACTTGTTAAGAAGATGTGGTACATATACACAATGTAATATTACTCTGCAAAAAAAACCTCAAAAAACAAAAAACAAAACCCTCATGCCTTTTGCAAAACATGCTTAGTGAAATAAGCCAGAAAGAAAAAAAAAATACCAGGTGGTTTCACTCATAGCAGGAGTATAAGGGATCAGGAAAAAAGACATTTTAATAAAGTAAAAACTAAAAACAACAAATAACTATAAACTGAGGACATTTTATGGGGGTAAAGAGGGAAATAGAATCAAAACTGGGGTAGGAAGAGTGCATGGGATATGGGGATGGCACAGGGGTGAATTTGGTGGTGGGAAGCCCATGGGGATTACAAAGATGAAAAAATATACAAAATGAAGAATGATGTAAAAAAATGTAAAAGATAATTTTTTAAGTTACCTAAGATCGAGTGGTCTTAAAAGACCTGTTCTTTGTCTATGCAGAAGCTAGTGTCAGTATGCTGACTGTACAAGCTCCAGCAGCCTACTCCAGCTAATTTCCCAGGTAAAAGAGAAATGAAATGTGAGACCATAAGACTACATTCCTCAGAGTCTGGGTCTGGCAAGTTCAGATCATTTGCCTCCCTCATTGGAAGGAGAACACAACCTCATATAAAAACTACTCAAATCACATAGCACAGCAAAGAGATCATGAGCACTAAACTGCCAATTACCAAGTACACTGAAATTTCCAGAGTTGCCAAAAGGAAAACCTGCCTCTGATGACAGCCATGGGCACCTGTGGCATTGTACCAGTATGCCCAGCAATGCCTCCTGCACTTTCTCTGGAAGCAGGGAAGAAGCTCACTTAAAATCACCTACAAAGATAAGTCATTGTAATGCTAAGAATGCTAAGTACCTCCAAGGCTGGGGCCTCTTGCATCCCTCTGACCAGGGCATCTCCTCTGTCTAGGCTTCGAGACTCAAATTCACCAGGGACACCCCCTCTCCCATACCTGTCTTCTTTTCTCACCCCTTATATTTTTTCTAAACCAGCAGACCTGTTTCCCATAGTTTCAAAGATCATCCACTCTATTTCTAAGTTCCAGACAGATAATCTATTAGTCACTTCACCTGATTTTCCAACGCCCAAAATAAATGATCTGTGGAGCACCTACAAGGTATGAGGCTTGGAACAGATCAGGGAACAAAGCGCAGATAGATCCTTGCTCCCATGGAGCTTACATTCCAGTGACGCGTTACAGATTCGACATATTCTCAGAGAAGTGACTAGCTTCCTGACCTTTGCTCCTCTGCCTGCCTTCTCACTCAGTGGCATCAACCTTCACTCAGTATCTTCTTTTCCAGCCTACCACACAAGCCTCTGAATCCTGTCAAGGTCACACTTAACCTCCACCATGACCAATGCCTACCGCTCGGAGGACACCAGGCCCTCTACCATTTAGCCCAACCTCTACCATCAGACGTGTCTTCCTCTGCACCCCTGTTCCAATTACACTCACTTGAACTTGATCCCCTCCCCACTCATTCATTTCTATGCATCTTATCCACTAGCAAGTTTTCCCTCCAGCCTCAGCCCTCTCTCCTCCTGGCCTATTAAGTCCCTATTCAACTTCTGAGGACTTACCTAACTGGCATCTCGTCTTAGAAGATTTCCTCTATTCAAGCAGTTACTTGCTTCCTCCTCCAATGCAGCTGTGATGTTGTATTGATCTGTTCACCTGTCTACCTCACCCTCCAGATCGAGAACACACAAAAGTCAAAGGTCACTCTGTCCATCTTGGAGGACCCCAGACAGTCCCCTAACAGCACACCAGGCATGCAGGAGGTGCTCAATTAAACAACTGTTCGATTTTGATAGCCCTCTTACATTAGAAGTAAATTCTCACTGCCCACAAGTAAGAATCCCTAATTCAATGGAAAGCATTTCCTCTTTCTATGAACCAGAGGTGCTAGATTAAGTAAAATAATTACTCACTTCACTTCTGGAGGCGACAGCTCTGTGTAATGGGGTCAGCCACATATTGTCCTTGGCATTTACGCGAGCTCCTAGAACCAAAAGCACAGGTTAGAGGCATAACACAGCCAGAGGTAGTTCTGCTCATGTCAATTCTATATCATGTGTTCTCATTTGCCTGATACAGTCACCAGGGTTTTTTTTTTTTCTCTTTGTATCAATATGTGCTTTCTGGCCACCAGACAGCAGGAGATATTCAGAAAATAGAAAGTAAAATCAGAAGTGAGACTATGAAAAGAACTGGGAAGAGACTAAATGAGAAATGTGTGTCTCACTGTAGGAGAGACTCCAATAGCTGTAAGTGGTAAGAAGTCAGATTCTCTGTGACATGGAAATGTAGATTCTGAAGATGTAACTCTTCAGTTGTGTTCTGAAATATATATTTCTGAATACAAAACATAGCTAGATATATCATTTGATTCTATTTTTAATCAATAAGTATATTTATCTCATAGGACATACAATACACTTCCTGGCAAACTGCCAGGGATAAGGACCTTCCGAAAAAGACACACCAGAAGTCAGATTACAAACAAATCTTGTAAAGTTGAGTTCTGGCCACATGAGATCTGGGCTGAGGGGATTAGTGAAAATCTGCTTTATCCACAAATCCAAATTGCTTCTCTGGGATCAGTCCAATGTACTGGTAGAAAGAAATCAGCTTCTGCAGAGCTTTTGCACAGATAAAACGAGGAGCCTCTGTAGACTGCTCTCAGCTCCCTCACACCATGCGGTGGGCAAACAGGAGCCAGAGTCAGCTCATGCTCAGAGATGGGCCTCAGGCTCATCTCTGTAGGCATCACACCATTGTCGTACAAAAGCTCCATGTAATGTATTCACAGAAAACAGAGGAAAATAGAGCATACCCTCCTTTGTGACACCCCCCCCAATTCCCCAGGAAGCCCACCAAGCTACACCTGCACTGCTAAAATCCAGGAGGGCCTTCCTGTGTTGGGGTTTGGAGTTTTGATGAGTCTGTTGGTCAGATAAAAGGTTGCACAAAATGGCTACAAAAGAAGAAGGAGAGCCATGTTTATTGCTGCTTTATTTACAATTAGAAAAACATGGAAGGAGCCCAAATGCCCAAAAGTAGGTGACTGGATTAAAAGATGTGGTACATATAGACAATGGAATATTACTCAGCAACCAAAAAAGAGAAACACATGTCTTTTGCAGCAACTTGGATGGAGCTGGAAAAGATCATGCTTAGTGAGATAAGCCAGAAAGAGAGAGAAAAATACTGGATGGTTTCACTCATAGCAGGAGTATAATGGACCAGGCGAGAAAATAACAAAAATAATGAACAACCATATACCAGAGACATTTTTGTGGGGGTGGAGTGGGGAATGGGATCAAAAACGGGGGGGGGGGAGTGCACGGGATTATGGTGATGGCACACAGGTGACTTGGTGATGGGAAACCCGCGGGGATTACAATTGAGATGGAAAAAAAATGTACAAAAAGATGTAAAAATAAACTTTTGTAATAAAAAAATAAAATTACAAAAGGAAAAAAAAAGAAAAAAGAGAAGAGGGAGAGAAAATATACATGCTATCCAAATTTGTTAGATATTCATTAAGAGAAGCCTATTTTAGACTTGGGTCAAGGAAGGAACTTGTAAGACAGAGGAGGGGAAGGTGAGGAGGAGGGAACTCAGGCATGAGTGGAGAAAGTCTGTCAAGTGGTAGCAAGGATTGACCAATCTCTATGAGGTCCAGATCAGCTGTCAGCTTAAAAATATATATATATATGGATTGTTTTGAAAAAAATAAATGGCAGTAGGGACCTTTCATGGGTCAAAGTGGGCTAGAAATTTAGCTTAAGGCACTAACTATAAAGAAATAACAAAATAGAAAGTCCACTGTTTTTTTACCTTTAACTGAAGAACAATGAGGTACCACCAAAAATATTAATTACAGAAACAAGAACATAAACCTAAAACAAAGATAGAATGTCTCGTCTCTCCTCCACCCCTCCTCCCCACACCCCCCTCTGGTTTCCCTGGCTTGAGAAGAGGGCTGGCAAAAGTACTCCAGGACCCAAGGTTATGGCAATGTGCTGTCAAGGCTGAGAAACACTGATAAATTATTGTATAGTTTATCAACCTTAAAAACCTACCTCTACTAACTCCTTCCAGGTAGTTTACCTGAGAAGGCTTAAATCCCTTAATTCCACATGGACCAAACACAGTCAGTTTGAGCACGTTCAGCGTAGCAGACACCTCTTGCTGCAGTAACTGGAAACCCTGTGCTGAGTGGCCTGGCATGAAATGAACGAGGTCTTGGAAGGATGCTGGATTCTTGGTCAAAAGGTCCAGGTTTGAGTTCTGATTTCAGCACCTACTAACCCAGTGACCAAGAATCATCAACGTGTAAAATGAGACTAACCACAACAGCAATCATATTCCTCTACCTACTTCACTGGGATATTGGAAGAAGCAAGTGAAAGTGAAGATGCTTTGTAAACTGCCAGGCACCAGAAAGTCAAAAGTGGTTTAATTTCCAAATCTCCTCTAAAGTCTCGTTCACCTCTAAATCCTTGACACAGATTTTCAAGGCAGTGAGAGGCAGGGTCCTTACACTGCAAAGAAGGGGAGGTCAAAAACATAAATTTAAGAATAATCTTAGGAACACAAAGGACCTAGAGACTGTACAGGCATTTTTCTAAAAAGCAAACAACTCTAGTGCTAGAGCATGCTGGGGAGAAGAAAACCTAGGTGTAATTAACAGAAAAAAAAAATGACATTTAAATCAAAACAATGTTTTCACTACCAAAAACAAAATTTAGATTTCTACTCCTCAGTCCTACTTATAGAAGTGTCAAAATGGCTGTTACAAAGCCTACTTTCTGGTTTCGAAACAAACTGCTTCACACCGTGAGATCCTGCTATTTCCTCTTCCAAAATTCTGTAAGTTATTCAATACTTTAAAACTATCCATCTTTCAGGTCTTTCCTTGGTATATTTTACATACTTGCATTTCAGAAAACAGAACTTTTGTTTTCTTTAGCAAGTCAAATACATGACTGTCACTTTAAGCTGTTTCTTTGGGATACATGTCACAAAACTCCGTCGGAGGCGGGGTTCATCCCCTGATCGTTAGAGAGGTCTACATCTAGGTATCCCTTCAATTTCCCTATCCACTGAAGTCAAATCAGTCATCTCCATCAGTCTGCGATGGATAACATCTTGCCACAAGTCCTCTCGCTGTCTGAATTTTCACCTAACCATCTGAATGACATCACTTCAGTCATCTGTAGGAAGAAATGCTACACTGTCAGATGTGATACTGCTACAGGTATCAGATCAGTTCGATTCAGAGCTTCCAACTCAACCCTGTCTAATGGAAATATAACGTGAGCCAAGTGTGTAATTTTAAATTTTCTAATAGCCACATTTAAAAGAGCAGAAAAAGAAAACTTAATTTTGGTATAATTTTAATTCAACATATACAAAATACGATGATGCAATAAAGTCACAAAACTAAAAAGATAATCTACTTTCCTTTTCCCTTGCTAAAACTTCAAAATCCAATGTGCATTTTACACTTACAGCACCTCTCCATTCAAACTGGTTTCAAATGCCCCATCACCACATTTGGGATAACACATTGGACAATGCAATTGCTAAGTCATATTAAACACTGTCAGCATAATCTGAATGCTACCTCTGTATACTAACACATGTGTAGTCTATTTAGTAGAGAAACACTATAACTACACCAATTTTATATTAACAGGGGAGGGAACAAAGATCATGAAAAGCAATATCCCCAAGGTACCCAGACAGGAATGAAATGTTTATTTATTTATTTTCTTATTAAAGTAACACTGGTTTACCACACTGTGTATGACTTAGAGGTATAGGATTGACCCCGTCAGGTGTTAGGACACCACACCCACCACCAAGACACCCATAGTCTTCACCATAGTCCATTGTGTTTTCTTCCCATCTTGCTCCTCCCCCTCTTGTAGCCTAAATTCTACAGTTTGATTTTGGTTTGGCTTCATCTGAGGTTTTGTATCTCTATATTACATGTAGAAATGACATTATCTGTCTTTTTCCTTGTGACTTATTTCACTTAGCATAATCCCCTCTGTTGGGAAACAAAGATTTACTGACAAGGAAAGAATTGAGCCTTGCATCCAAGCTTGATATGGGACTAGCTGAAGGGGATAACAAACTGATAGTCAATTGGGCCTAGCATCCGGGAGATACAGCGATGAGTCACCTTTGGAATGTGAACCTAGATCTGTATAAAAGACCCTTTCCCCCTTATTGAGGGGGCAGTAGCTGAGGAGCCCACCCTAGGGGCTCCATCTCAGCTGCTGTCCCGGAGCAATAAACTCTGCTTGCTCAGCCTTCCTGCCTCCTGCCTTCCTTTCTTGTGGCCGGTCACAGAAGTTGGGACAAAACAAATTGGTGCCGAAACCAGTTAAAGGCCCTCCAATTGCCACAATCAGTTGCTATTATTCACACTCCTGGCCACCGTCAGGGACATGCCCGATGGTCACAGGGAAATGATATGGCAGACCAAGCAACCAGGAAAGCAGCCTTTACCACAGGCTCAACGACCCCTAAGGCCCTCCTCATGCTTCCAAGCCCAGATAAAAACACCCCACTACACCCCAGGGGAGGAGAAGGGGGAGGAAAAGGCATATAAACAGGCAGGTTTTGAGAAAAAGGAGGGAGGAATAGAGGCTTTCCTCACGGTCAAGGAAGCCTCAGCCACAGTATGCCATCACCTCTTAACAAACATTCTTCCTCAATTTGGCCTCCCAAGATCTCTACAATCAGATAATGGGTCTGCCTTTATCTTTAATATCACTCAACAAGTGACTAAGGACTTAAGCACAGTATGGAGACTACATGTCCCTTATAGACCTCAGTCCTCTGGCAAAGTAGAACACATAAATGGGATTTTAAAGAAATAACTTACTAGCCTAGCCCTGGAACTCCATACAGACTGGGTACACAACCTTCCAGTGGCACTAATGAGGATGTGTACAGCCCCCTGGAAGGGCACGGCCCTGT